CATCGTCGATTTCACTTTCACTTTCACTTTCGTTTGGTTCGCTGTAGCGATATCAGACTGCCATAGCTTAGGTAGTAACAGCGTCTAGGTACGATATGACCCGAAATTTGAAAACCCGAAAGAAAAATCGCTAAAAACATTAAAACAAACCAAAATAATTTGGAAAGTGAAAACCAAAACCAAAATTTTTTTAAAAGCCAAATCCAAAACGAACAGCCGAAACATAGAAACACATTTCGCTGTGATCAATCATTCCCACTGAAACCGTTAATCCAAATGCAACTGATAAAATAATAATAATAATAATCCAACTAATAACATTGTGCATGACGAAGATTTTAAAGGGAATAATCACGAAAGTAAGAATACAGGCGTTTAACAGTTGGAGATAAATCACGAACGTGGAGTTGATGATGTCATCTAGGTACGGTGCATGTATATCCAAAACAAGCGTCGCTCGTCAAAGTTTGATGACGCGTCACCGGTCACGGCTTTCGCAAAGCGCACGCGCGCGCCGCGCACACACGTACTGACAATAAATATCTAAAACAAACAAAAATCAATGCCGTTAATCGTCGAACGGAGCTAAAAAAAACGCGCCCGCTCTGCGCGGCGGCGCACTGCCAGACGAAACGTCTGGGCTACACTCTTCTCAAACCCACACTCTTCGTAACTCGTAACTTAACCGGAGCGTGTTAAGACACCGACTACGACGACGCAGAGTTCTTCCCTCTCCGGACTTCACGCGTCGACACGTTTTAAGAACGAAACAGCATTTTTTTCGACACTTCCTGTTAACTCACATAATGTTTATCGGTTGAAATGAACAAAGAACACCCTCAACAGCACCCCTGTCGATTTTAAAGGGGCTACCCCCCCATTTACGAAAATGACATAGGTCTCAATGGAACCCATGTTCTCTATTCTTGAACCATGTCGGCCCGCTAGCAGTAGGCCTAACTTGTTTTATCATAGAAAGGAACAGTTAATGAATCGAGCCGATCGCTCCGCTGTGTCCCGGACGTGTAAACATCACTGTGGTGCTACTTTCGTAAGAGAAGTAATTTCGTTTAGATTTTGAGAAGAAATGTTATGAAAGTAGCAATACAAATGAGTTGTAGTGAATTTTTGCAACACAGACGAGCTTACAGTAGGTATATATATGCATCTAGCTGCGAGGTTTATCCACTTTAACGCGCAAATAATAGAAAGGAACAATACAACGTAGTAGCGGGACGAGCGACAGCCACCTGCACATGCTGCAGTACCGGGGGCAAACGCGCGCGCGTAGGAAGTACGAACGCTCGCTTATTTCCGAGACAGCGTCGCGCGATTTCGTCCCGAGAGCCGCAATTTTCGCGGAATCTGTGGCACACACCAACGAACGCTGCCGTGGCAAGCACGCCTGCCGAAAATGTTAGAGAAAGGAGAGTGGGAGGTGAAGGAAGGCGGCGGAGTGAAGAAGGAAGCGAGGGGAACAGAACGCCGAATCGAGAGGCGAGATTTCTTGCGACGAAAACACATGCTGCCACCTGAATGGTGAGGTCATTAACGTCCGAAACCGACAGGAAACCTCTCGGCAACGTACGCTCGTGAGAGTCAACCCGCCACCCGGACGGGCAACCGTCGACGGCGCCCCACCCCCAAAATCCGGCAGCCCTGTCGTCGGACACAGAATTAGTCTTAACGTTCATCTTAGCATTAAACCTCTCAATTCTAAAAAAAAAAACTTTTCTCGTAGACTGTCGACAGCGACGCAGTACAGCGTGTTTCTCGTACGCAGTATACGGGGCATAGAGGTCTACGAGGAAGAGGTCAACGAGGAAGAGGTCAACGTTGAGCACGACATTGAGAGTAACTTTGTTTCCGACGCCGCAGCCGCCGCTCGCCACTGCTACACTGTTGCTCACGATGACTGAAGACGGAAAAACCACACGACAGAGAGAAGACCCCGCGGCGCCGCCGGCGACCGACCAGAAATTTAAACGCGGGGGTGGCGAAAAGATGGTAAACGTTGATTAGTGTCCGTAGAAAGCTAGAGCGGTGGCGACCGTTATACAGTGAACCGGTTCTGCGCCGGCATAGATCCGCATATCACCATCGAGTCGGCGTGCGCCTGGTAGCCCATCACGCACACCTTGTTTTGCAGATCCAATCGCTCCTTGTATTTTATGCTGCAAGTAAGAACAGAAAGCACGCGCTCAGAAAGCGCCGGAACAAAGACGCGAATGCGGGGGGTCCGACGAAACGGCCGAGGGTTCGACCGATCGCGTCTCGCTCCAACGTTGCACAAGATATATTGACGATCTAAGAACAATGACTATTGCGATTGTAGTATGAAGTTGCATGAAATTATGACTATGATATACGATATTATCGATATAATATAATTGAGAATTGATATTGAGAAATAAGATAATATGTATGTTATAGAATAGAATAT